TCGTCTCATCTTCCCTGGCTCTCTTTTGCTTACGAAATGTCGCACCGTTTTCTTTCACTCTCTTCATTAATAGATCTTAAGTGAAAATTCACGCAAATTCTGAAAAGGTGCAAAATTCTGGAAGCTATAGACGACCCACTGATAAACAATTAAACACAAATTGTGATAATAGAAATAACGAAAATAACAGGATGCGCTAACTAAGCCATTTTTACTGAAATAAAACAACAAAAGCATAATTGCATAACGATCATAAACACAAACTTTTCAAACCTGAAGGATTTGCGTTTGCACACAACTCCACAACAACATGGATCAATTTGTTTAAATAGCCAACCAATATGGTCTCAATAGTCAGGTGACACACTAACATCGCATCTGTACGCAACGTTTTACAAGACAAATCAACCGAATGGAAGCTGCCACAAGTTCTGCTACGTGAGGGTGTGTTGGTCGCACAATCTGCGTTCTCACTATCGTGTTCCAAAACTGCAAGTTAATCGAGACAGTAGGCAGTGACTGTGTAACCTACCTGAGCTTTACTCACACCAATGTCCAAAGAGGATTGTCGGATAAAACATCGGAGCAGACGAGGTCACCGACGATGCCACTAAAGTTGTACTTATGCGCAGCTGACGGATCGAATTGCATTGGAGCTACGGTGAAATGGGCACGACGACAATTTCAGTGCTAGTTGCATGTTAGCACACGCTATGACTGAATTAAATGCGTAAAGCATACACGATCGGGTCAGGATAAAGTGCACATCGAGTTTTCGCTGAATTGAATAACCGTTCGGAACAGGTTAATCTGGTGCAAGTGATGAGAAACGGACAAGTAAGGGGACCGCTGCGAAGAACATTTGCACAGGTGTAACAAATGGTGTAAAGTTGTTGTTGATCAAACAAAATATCATTAAAATAATCACCCAACGCTTAGATAGAAATTTTGCTCCTTGTATTTGGTATTTAAAAAATAACCGTATTAAAAATGCCGCCACCTTTTCTGTGCCTCCCGGGGCAGACCGCCACCTCCTCCCCTTTGTTATGCCCCAGCCAATTCGTACCCCCAAAAAATATTTCAAACAAAGAATAAGCTAGGAAGGAAGAGAGAATCTTGCAACACAAACCAGCAAATGTAGATGAAGCCTGGATTAAGAATCCATTCAAGAGAACCTCATCAGTTACAAAAGGAACAATGATGGTACGAGGTCTCGTCAAAGCAGAAAGAAGACATAGATTGCGATATGACAACATCTAGATTGTTCTCATCAGTCGCAAACACGTACCGTGGATGACATTTTAGTATTCACCAGAAGCGAACATTTTGTGCTACCGTTAACCACTTTGGGTTCAATTCACCCTAACTTCTCGGTGTCCCACGAGATAGAAAACATGGCAGCCTGTCATTTTTGGATATCGTCATCAAGGGACGGGATGGAGGTAAACTGCAGCGCACGGTTTACCGCAAGGCGACCTGGAGCGGGCAGTACCTCTACTTTTCCAGTTTCGCCCCGGTTGCATACAAATGCGGGTCTAGTGAAGACACTTTTCTACAGGGCTAGACGAAATTGTAGTCCGGAATTGCTTGAAGCTGAAGAAAAGTTTCTGTATAGGACCTTAGTATCGAATGGTTATCCCGAAAAGTTCATCCAAGTGCACAGCAAACCCCCCCAAGAAGAAACTGCCAGTGCAAACGGCAGAGAAAAAGTTGTCTATTTGGTTCTGCCGTTCAAAGGGGACTATGTGGCAAATGATATCGGACACAAGCTCAAGTCCGCTCTAAATTGCACATACACGACTGCCCAGTTGCGCCTCATGCACACTACCCGGAAACTGGGTCTTCAGGACCGTCAGAGCTTCCCTTCGGCTAGTTCGGCCTCTCATGTTGTTTTATCAATTCACCTGCAGTTGCGGTGATGTTTACATAGGCAAGACTAACCGTCGGTTGGCTCAAAGGGTGGCTGAGCATTTGCCAAAGTGGGTCGAACAAAGGATAGCGCAACAGAACGGAACGCCCCACAGAACGAATCGGAGTCCGTCATCATGTATCGCCAAACACCTCTTGACAACTGGTCACCATGTGAACCCCAATAATGCGTTCAAAGTGTTAGTACGTAACAGGAACCCGACAAGGCTGGCAATCAGCGAGGCGTTGCTAATTAACGCTTATCAACCTGTGTTATGTGCACAGAAACACTTGAGGCAATCAATCAGATTGCCTTGATCTTTATTTTAACAGTTTACTTGGTGTGCCAATATTTTCCAATGTATATACATATGTCTGTTTCTGCTTGTATTGTGTTTGCGACTGAGGAGAACAATCGAAATGTTGACATATCGCAATCTATGTCTTCTTTGTGCTTTGACGAAATGGATGGAGGGGAACAAATGTGACACTAGGTCCACAAGTCAAATACAAGTATTCCAATCCCATTGATTTCCTTGCCGCAATTGCATCAACGATGACCGCATTTACATCGCGGCTGAAGCCCAACATACAATTAGGCACAACGTCATAACTGCGCTGAGTCGCAAAGTGGAAACCAAAATTTTCAGCGGAAACGAACAAAAGGCATTGAGAAACCAACAAAAAGTCAAAATAATTGTTATCTTAACAGCCGACAAGGGACGTCTTGTGGTCATAATGGATAAAATGACAACATCGGGAAAGTACAAGAACTGCTCAAAGGAATTGAATACCTACTAGCTGATGACGACCCTAGAAAACGTCTAGAAAGCAAGATCAAACGTACTCTACAAAGACTAGAACAATGGGGACAGATTAGGAAGATAGAACGTAGCAAGATGAAACCCGAGGACTTAATACTACTACGATTCTACGGCCTAGCCAAAGTACACAAAAATGGAGTACCGCTTCGCCCCATTGTTCCATGACTCGGCGCACCGAGTTATACACTTGCTAAAGTACTCTGGAAACGGTTGAAACACCTAACCACAAGATCCGCAAATGCAATCCAATCGGCGTAACCTTTCTTTTAAAAACTTAAAGGAATGACAATAAAAAGAGATGATATAATAATGTCCTTTGATGTTACAGCCTTTTTCACATCAATTGACATCGAGTTGGCAATGCAAGTAATCATGACCCTGTTGGAACAACACGGAGAGGTGTAAATGCACATAACAGAATTGGAGTCACTCAAATGATCTAGTTGCTTGATTTCTATACCATAAGGCATTTCACTTTCAATGGTCAAACAGATAATGGATACGCCAATGAGTTCGCTACACGCTGGACTGGTGGCAGAGGCGATGATGCAAGTAATGGAACAAAAACACTGCCGATCGTGAAGCCCAAGCTTTGAGTAAGCTGCGTGGAAAACACTTTTGTTATACTTGAATGCTCCAGACTTCTGGAAACACACGAGCTAATCAACAACATTTTGCCTGGCATCCAATTCACCAAAGAGGAGGAGAGCAATATCGAGTTGCCATTCTTGGACGTTCTCGGGATAAGACATAGTGTTGGCCCCCTGGAACAGCGGTCTGTCGGAAGGCAACGCATACCGATCGGATTTGGAACTATCGGATTAACCATGTGGTTGTTTACAAGCGCAGTTTTGTAAGAACTCTCTTCAAAAGGGGTTTTAACCCATTGTAGCAAGCCGCAGCCAAGAAAGGCGGAGGTGAGCCGCCTCTTCAACATGTTTCAGCCGAATTCTTATCCAGAATTTTTATCCTGTGCTGCCTGATATCTAGGAAACAACAACCACCCGCATCCACCAGTGTAACATTAGCATTAGCTGCATGTTACTTGTGAAGTCACCAGTGGCCATGTCTTCCGTCCCTGAAGAAGGTCGAGGGAATGCGCATTACGGAAGAGACCCAGGACAGCGAAACTTTCGTCTGATGCCTTCCCGTCTTGGTAGGTGACCTATGTGTCTTGTAATACAACTAAGACAAATTAAATAAATATTTAGCTTCTCGCCAAAGGCTGGGCGATAACTGTTGCACGTGTCTGTTCACCCAGGATGCCCACAAGAAGAATACATTTACCAATGTTGGGGTTGTTTTGTCACCAAACCTGAGTGGATTTGCAAAATTGTCTAATTCGGTAGCAAACAACCACCAAGAACGTCTGTGTGATGTATGATAACATTTTTATCGCTTATGGTTTGAGATGCTACAAATCGTTGAACTTGGTTAATCTACACAGTTTATTTTATGTTACGTGTGACAACCCATAACTGTATGGAACAAGTAATTGCTTCCGAATATCCGATACCAAAAAGTACACCTATTCAATGGTATCTTGCAGTACATTCATGGCCGGCCGTCTTCCTTATTACAAAACCCTTGGTAGACAATGTTGATTCATGGAAGTCATCCAGCCAGCAAGTTTTTCTGAAACTAGTAAAATAATCCACGTTGAAACACATTTGTGCTTAAGGTGGACATTCTTGTATTTATCTCAAAAATGATAACCACCAATTCAGGGAACATGGTATTATTATATTGAAAACTACTTCTTGTGCAATAGGGACAAATATCGCGCACACAGTTTAGGGCTAATACAGTAATACTCTGACTATGTCTGTCGTAATTTGCTAAACCTACACAATCAACTTGAACGCGAATCATTTCTTCCACTAACCTGTTACCCCATTGGATGATTAATGGGTAACGTCAAAGGTCACTGCAGTTCCAAATAGAGTTAGCACTGAATGAAAACGATGGCAACAATTTGTCACACCTTACACGTCCTATTTTCTAATGGTGTGTGACACCGAATGTACAGCGTCATGTGTGATTACCTGCAGTTAGTGCATCAACGTACTTGTACTCAAAGGGAGTAATGAAATTTAGTCCTCTTCAAATATCATGGCAACAGTTCTGTCATGTTGGGTATGGAGGCCATTACATCTGCATTTCTGTAGATAGTATACATTATTAAGGTCCTAGATTTTAAATGGACTAATCAGAGTGATTCCCATTTGGTTTCATAAGCTAAAACACCGTTTCTGCTTCATTCTTTAGCTCCAAATAGCTACAATCCTCCACGTGGTTTTGTAGCTGAACTAATTAAGAAAAACACAACAGGCTTTTTCGCAGATTATGTGGTTCCCTTCGGAAGTACAACCAAACGTTTCGTATACAGCAGGTTACCGACTCAATCGTCCGACAATGAGATTCTGTCGTCAAGCGATATGGAAGGTACTCCTGGGCCCGCGCATTATCAACCGGAGAAACACCATGGGGTTGGAACGGATGAGAAGAAAGTCCGAATAACGATACAGAACAGGCACCAACAACACTCATTACTATCGGTAAGTCAAAAAGACCACAACCGCGTGTCACAAAAACGACAGTACAGCGCTGATGGTTTTTCGCTTCATGGAATTGTCCAAGTTCAGGTGTATGATGCAGATAAAAGGCCGAAGCTTAATGTGTCCCGCAGGATGATGGGTACTGGTTTTAGATGAAAAACAAACTATGAGTTGAGAAAAACTAAGGTCAATGAAACTGTCGGTCAAAGTTTGTCTGATGTTCTTGTTAGTCTGTGTGTTATCTACTGTGGCTCTTTGCGGCCAACGCTTTGTCGATACGCTGTTTCAGTACTGTTATTGGAGGGACTAAGATAACTCATTCTAGAAGGCAATTGCATGTGTGACAAATGCGTAACGATAAGAAATTCCCTCCTCCGTCTAGCTAGTTGTGTTGTACTTCAGCGTTGAGACACTGACCTTAGTCTTCTGTTACGGCTAAGCTTTAGCGGATAATAGCGCAAAGTAGTTAGGATTCCTTAAAATCTGGTAAACCATAAGAAATTGATAACGCAAATGCCGAAAGTGCTCACTGGAAACTCCAAGATTACTCAGTCTCTGTTGGTAGAATACGCGGTGTAGCGCGTGGATGTTCCTGGTACTCTATCGTGGAATCTGCATGACACATGATGGCGTATGCATGAAGAAAATTGTTAAGACTGGATGGATGGTTAGATGTGACTAAGATATCTAGGTAAGAGTTAGACGTTTTAGAGGTCTTTGATTGATGCTAATGTACACTACTCCAATTACCAGAGTCTTGCTGGATCTATACACTTGAGCCCATTCACTAAATCAATACTGGAGATCATGGTCTTCCTGCTTATAGATAAGAACCACTTGCAGTTTTGGATGAAGCTTTCAGTATTTAGTTACGATAGATTGGTCGGAATCCTAGCCTAATCATTCATAAGTATTGTCGGGGTCATTTTAAAGACAATAACCTGCTAACTTGGACAAGGTCGAACACATCCATCCTGTGTCCAATTTGAGAGTATTCGTGATATTTTTCCAAGCGTAATTTGCGACGTACAATCCTACACTGCGTTAGCATAGCCGATGGCTTCATAAACTCTAAGACAAAAATAACTGACCCTTGCTCGACAACATGACGTACCTTAGTGTCCTCTCCTAATTAGTTGGAATACTTTTTATGGGGTTACTTGTGAGTATGATATGTATGATATTTTATCATCGAGTTAAACGTTATCTTCCTAATTACACATCTGGTCCATTTCGATAGGTTACTGGATAGTTCAATAGCGGATGTCCGTCCGCTGCATCTAGTAGGTACAACCATGTGATTTTTATCCACTGGATAATTATTTACTTTATTATAAATAGTGTGCTGTGGCTCTCTTAACTTTAATTAAGGTAATACAACGTAGAACCTCTAGCCATCCTCCCATCAACTGGTGTCAAAATGGTCCCAACACTTCGAATTCCTACGTTCAGTTTCCTCACCAAAAAGGATTGAGGCCATCCACCATAGGAAGTGAGGATTTTGTAAAGTTCTATCTGATCTTCGGCTTGCCAATAAATCAGGCTGGGAAGATTGTTAAATTTCTAATGTGTGGAACCTTCTGAAGTGTTATCGGAGGCAAAAGACATGCAACCTCATTGGTTACATCGCGGTTTAATCCCAATATCTTGAGAGGACTAGCCATCAGGTATTTTTATTGAATGTGCCGCCGGTAGGGGAAAAAGCAAAGAGTACACTAGACTAACCTATACAATTTGGTTCACCTCGTCGGCTGTTCAAACGTTCCCAGACGCTTTTTTTATTTATAACTACTGATGATAATGATTTTGCCTAAGGCGCTTCACGTTGATCCAAGCTTTCTACCTGAATTAAGCATATCTACTTCGGTAAGATGAGGCCATTTAGGTGCATCTCAGTATCATATTCATCAAAGTTGTGTGGGTGCCATCACTACAGCGAATGCTCGGATAGATTCTGTGATACTCGACATTTCGACTAACGAACTGAATCGACGAGGAACATGAACTACACTGCTTGCCCAGGGAAACCTGAGCCTAATCATTAAGTCTGATGGTTGAATGGGGAGGTTATTCTAGTAATGTCCGAACTGGACTAGCAGGCACTAACCGCTGTTCAAATTCCACCCTAAGTGCTGTCTCTTTAGGCCAAATATGGTAAAAAATGAAATGGTACGACCAATTCCATTTGGTTTCGCACAGGTGTACGGCCAGTCCGCTCGTCGGATGCATGGTACCGCTGATGCAGAAGTGCGAAAGACTAGCAGGGAGTTTAAAGCGCGCAACTGCGAAAGATCTACCCAACCGTGCCTGGAGGATTCACTGCCTCCAACTGGGTGCGTAGTATGAAACACCAATTCGCAACCGAGAAGCCAGTTTTGGCTTGTGAGAAATGAGTAAGAGTTGGGCACCTCAGCCCCACTGAATTCTGTCAAGTTACAGAGGCCTGGTTCAACAGCATTGAAAATATACCATAAAAAGTTGGAAGTACATTGTGGAAAAAAGGAGAACGCATTCAAACTTACCATTCCGAATCCAACAAACTCCAATATTCCACTGACTCTTAAATAACATCCCCATTCCTTGTGTCATTACTGTCGCACGAGACTGGACCTTAACGTGCTGCGACGGTTTACCTAATTCTTTCACCCGATGAGCTAAATTGGTGAAGTCCATGAACCACTTTAGAACTACTCCTACCAGGTTGGTCACTGGTTAGAAATCAGACAAACTCAGTCTACTGGTACGCCCGGATTCGGGTTGACAATGGGATGCAGTCCAAATATGATAATCGGAATCGATGCCACCTCCACAGGCTAGCGGAAGTATTTTGAGTCAAAGGCTTTGGTTGAGGACAATAATCGTCCTCCTATCTGTGTGCCTGACAGTATCGCATCCCCTTAACAATCATGACTATTACTGAAAAATGCAACCACATTCCAAATCAGCCTTCTCGTAGATTATCAAGTGTCGCCTTATCTGTTGCAAATGCCAGAGGGAATAAGCCGCACAATGTTATTGCTAGCGCTTTCCGCGTTTCTTTTGTGCCTGATCCTCTTACTCCTTTCCCATCATCCGTTACTAATCTTCCATAATTCCAAACTTAATTGACAGCAACCGTACAGACACCGCAGTCATGCTAAGTGCAGTTACCCCCCACCCGCACAATCCACTGGAAGCCTGTTGACAGGCATCCCTTGATAAGGCCACGTTACCTCGTTTCCCTGGCTACGCTCAACATTCGCACTCCAAGACAAATAGGTCAACAAGCTGCACTCAAGCGCACTTGGAACACACAGTGTATTGAGGTGTATTGCGCGTCCGAAACTAGGATCAACAACACTCACGGAGTTGTTGGATTAATTACCTCCGGCGTGTCCTCCATCTATTGGTAGCACGCACCCGGGTACGATGATGCAGCAATCACCAGTCAAGCTGGGGTGGGAATTGTTCTCAGCTCTAAGCCTGAGTCATCATTGCTTGCTTGGCTTCCCGCGAATACACGTTTGTGTGCGGCCGTTTGACAACATCAACTAATCTTGATTCACATAATGATACTAAAGGTAGTTATTTGTGGTTTCCGCTTATTCCGCCGCAGTGCGCAAGTCTGATGCACTAATGACACCATCTAACCCGAACTGAACACGCTGCATCGCAATGCTTCCAGTTCAGATACAGTTATTGTTCCAGTATAGATGAAGGCAAAAATTGACAGTCTGAACTCATTAGAAACCCAGTTGTAGTAGATATGGGCATAAGTTCGAACTGACGGACACCGGACAGCGAATATTAGGGCTATAAAAGGAGAACCGACTGTTTTTAGTAGCAGCGCTTTTGATACAGCGGACTCCGAAGTGCAATTTGATGTTCTCTTGTAGCTTGACAACAATAAACCCATATTTATAACATTGCCATAAGTGCAAGGTGGCGTGGTTCCACCCTGTACTGTCACGCATTCTAGTGTAGTTGCGTCTACTCTGCTGATGATTTGGTACGATGTCGTTTTCCAATAGGTTCACCGCGAAGCGCGGCAACCGTCGCCTTTGATAGCAACTGAGAAGTTATCACAGCACTCGGTAAGGCAAGACTAATGGGATACCTTGAGTACAGAAGTTCCGCTTTCAAGTCTTAGTAACACCAAATAAGTGGAATATGAATTCGGCCGCCCTGCGCGACGCGGCGCCTCTGCTTGTGGCCTGCCGCGACAGCACCGGATATCCTACAGGTCGGTAAAAATGTTGGAATCGAGACTACGCCCAGACGGATCTGGGCGTAAGGTGACTAGAGGGGCTATTAGAGGCGCAAAAATGCGTAGTTTGTGTGCTCACAATGAAACCTGGTGCACTAGTAGGGATCAATAAATAAATGAGGCAGAATCAGTAGGTTATTAACAAAACCGCCTTCAGCTGATCCGCATTAATAATCCGATTAAAACATGCGACACTTAGACAAGCAGAGACAGCATGGTTGCACTGATTCACAATAAGGAAAGCCGTATGACTCGTTGGATAAAATACCTTCAAGATCAGCTCCGTTGGCACACTAATTCCGCAACTCTTCCTACTCAGGTGATACGGTTATTTTACTGTTAGTTAACATGTTCGATCAGAGGCTGAGGAATAAAACGCGCTCACAGATCACAATAGTCTTCGTGCGGCTGGCCCGGAATCCCTCCCTTGTTACTAATTACAGATGAAGCTGTGGTCGTCTGTAAAGCACTGATCTCCTTGTTAAACATATCTGAAAGGATTTGACCATTCCGACTAACCGAAGTGAATCGTGTATGGTGACAATATACACGAAGTGTACACACACCGGTTGTACTAACCGCAGAGGTAAATGCTTAAAACTGCTTGTAAAAATTTACCGGCATCGGTTCGCATCCGTCGCTTTTATTTGGAAAGGGAATCCCGGATTAGGTAAAAGCAGGCAGGCTTCCATCTAAGAAGTGGCTGTGCAGACCATAAAGTCACTTCGCGGCATGTGGCAAATCAGTGCCACCC